ACGTGATAAACTGACTCAGTCATTTAACACATGAGATTTTAAAGCAGAGTGTGGAGGGTGCCACCTGGCTTCTTCTTGCTGTATATAATAAAATATGAGAGAAGATAGATAAACTAAAGAAAGGACTATTAAAAATAAAACAGATTAAACAAACTGGAAAACCTAGAGGAAATGGATAAATTCCTGGACACATGCAACCTACTAAGTTTGAATCAGGAAGAAATAGAAAACCTGAACAGACCAATAATGAGTGACAAGATGGAATCCGTAATAAAAAAAAAAATCTCCCAACAAAGAAAAGAGCCAGATGGTTTCACTGCCTAATTCTACCAAACTTTCAAGGAAGACCAAACACCAATTCTCTTGAAACTATTCCCCAAAAATTGAAGAGGGGATTCTGCCTAACTGAAGGCCAGCATTATCCTAATACCAAAATCAGTAAAGGACATAACAAAAAACAGAAGACTATAGGCCAATATTCCTGATGAACATACAGGCAAAAATCCCTAGCAAAATACTAGCATATTGCATCCAACAGCTCATCAAAAAGAGAATGCATCATGATCAAGTGGGATTTATCCCAGGAAGAAAGGAAGGTTCCACATACACAAATCAGTAAAACGTGATATATCACATCAGCAGAGTGAAGGACAAAAACCATACAATCACCTCAATAGATGCAGAAAAAACTTTTAATAAAATTCAACATCTCTTCATGATAAAACTCTTAACAAACTGGGCATAGAAAGAACATACCTCAACATAATAAAGGCCATATAGGACAAACCCACAGCTAACATCATACTATCATCATACTGAATGGGGAAAAGCTGAAAGCCTTTCCTCTAAGAACTGGAACAAAAACAAGGATACCCACTTTTAGCACTCCTATTCAACATAGTACTGAAGTCCGAAACAAAGCCATCAGGCAAGAGGAAGCAATAAAAGGCATCCAGATTGGAAAGGAGAAAGTCAACTTGTCCCTCTTTACAGATAATATAATTGTATATCTAGGAAAACCTAAATACTCAACCAAAACACTCTTAGATATGATAAATATTAAATCAATTCAGTACAGTTGCAGAATACAAAATCTATATACAAAAATTGGTAGTGTTTTTATATACCAATAATGAACTAACTGAGAAAGAAATCAAGAAGGCAATCTCATTTACTAGAGCTACAAAAAATAAAATACTTAGGAATCAGTATTTTGTTCATTGGATCGATCCATTTCAATGCTCATGGATTGTGAGAATTGATATCATTAAAATGACCATACTGCCCAAAGCAATCTACAGATTCAATGCAATCAAAATACCAATGTCATTTTTTGCAGAAATAGAAAAAAAATCCTAAAATTTATATGAAACCACAAAAAAGCCCAAATACTCAAAGCAATCCTAAGCAAAAAATAACAAAGGTGGAGGTATCGCACTACCTGACTTCAAAACATAGTATGACGCTGTAGTAACCAAAAATAACATGATATTGGTATAAAAACAGACACATAGACCAGTGGAACAGAATGGGGAACCCAGAAGTAAATCCAGACCTTTACAGCCAATTGTTATTTGACAAAGGTGCCAAAAACATACATTGGAGAACAGACACCCTCTTCAATAAAGGGTACTGGGAAAATTGGATAGCCATATGCAGAAGAATGAAACTAGACCCCGAACTTTCAATGTATATAAAAGTCAACTCAAGATGGATTAAAGACTTAAGTGTAAGACCCGAAACTGTAAAATTACTAAACTGGTTACACTGATTGAAGATAAAGTAAATTTTAAAATTCAATTTTTGAAAATATTAATTAAAAATTGATAAGTCTCTAGTCAGACATATTAAATAAAAAAGGTAGAAGACACACAAGTTAGAATGAAGAGAGAACATCATTAGAAATTCTGCAGATATCATAAGGATTAGCCGTATTGTGAAGAACTTTATGCTTATGCCAATAAAGTAAATAGTGAAATTTCTTAGAAGGCAGTGATATCAACAATTACCAAAGCCCACTGAGGAAAAAATTGTGTGTGTGTGTGTGTGTAAAGATGAATTTAGAGTTAAGGCCCTTTCACAAAGAAAATTCCAGATTCAATTTTTTTTCACTGATCAATCTTACCAGATATGAGAGGGAGAAGTAATACCCACTTAGCACAAACTCTCCCAAAACATAGAAAGAAGGCATATAACTCTTGACTAATTTTATTAAGCCAATATTACATTATACTAAAATCAGAAAAAGTCATTAAAATAAACATTACAAACTGGTATTCCTCATGAATGTAGATACAAAAATCCAAACTGGATTATAAATCCAATGGGCAAGTGACATTTATCTTGTAAACCATGGTTGATTTAATGTTTGAAAATCAACCTATGTCTCAGTAGGGGAGATGATAAAAGAAATGAAAATAAACCTATGGAATTTTTCTTACAGGTTAAAGGAGAAAAATCATGTGCTTATCTAAGTAGATGTAGATTAAAAAGCATAACTCTCAGGAAACTTGAAATAGGAGGAAACTTCCTCATTGGGATAAATAGCTAAGTGAAACCCATAGCTAATGACATACTTAATGGTGAAAGACCTAATGCTTATCCCTTGCTATCAAGAACAATGCAAAT